CCCATGCCCCTTTCCCCCCTCCCACAGACTTACCAGCTGGAGGCTTCTCTCCAAGCTGCTGTGCTGCATTCCTGGCTCTGTGAATGCTGTAGCTGTGCTCATGCACGTGACATTTATCGGTGACATTATCAGTTATGCCAGCCAAAAAAACCTGATTGCTGATAAGTTTTCCTTTTATTGGTGCCGATCTGGTATGCGGCTGATATATCAATGCACCTTTATATAAAATGCTATTGAATATTCAGCTTGGTTCATTATTTAACTACATACTATCAGTTCCCAGGCGGGATCTCTCATAGAAAAAGTTTTGTTTGCAATTTAATTTAAAAGAAAATCTACTCCACTGGTAGAGGAACTCAAGTATGCAGTGTGGGTTGCGCACTAACTATCTGAAGAGAGAGAAATTGATGGCTTCGGCCCCCCAAATCATTAGGAACAGCTTCCCACTTAGGAGCAGATTTTTTTTTTTAAAGTCTTGTTTATAAAACCACTATGAAAGTAGTTTCATTAAAGATGAAGAACAGTTCAGATTTTACATTCCAAATCTAATCTCCACTAACAGAAAGCTAAATTTGTTACCTCAAACTTAAAATTTGTTATAGGTGAATTTTAATACAGAAGAATCACAAATAGTCAAGAAGGGGATAAGACCATTTTCTCAAGATATTACTGTGCTTATTTAAGCAGTAAATATGCAATTTATTAATGCCAATTCATTTTATAAGCAGACTGTTTTGAAGTCATGGTTATAAAACCACCATCTCCTTCAGCTGGATTAATGTTACCGTGAAAAGACACAACCCTGCTCTTTCAAACTAGTAGAATCCCAAAACTAATACTAAATATCAGGAAATTCTAATGAAATGGCAAGATGATTTTAAAGGTTAAATGACATAAATTGTCATTATGAAATAGTCTGGGTAAAACATTTCTATAAACACCTACAAATTCTTGTGTTAGTAGCCCCTTTTCAAGCAAGCTGAAATACAAAGCAAGTTAAACTTGATGTGCAATTAAAATAGCCAGTTATGTTTTTCAATGTTCTACCATGCTCCTTTCTCCCTTTTCAGAAAGGGGGAAAAAAAAGGTCGTTAACCTTACCATCAGTCTGGGATTTGCTCAGGAAAATTGTGCTTGCTCTGGGATGATCAGATGGATTCGATTCCAAAGCTAAATCTGAAATAGAAAGTACAAAAATACTACTTGAAACTGATAAAGAAAAAATATACCATGAAGGAAAAGATGCAGCTGATTATAGTTGAGGCAAAGACAAACAAGTTTGTTTTGTTGTTTGTTTGGGGTTTTTTTGGGGGGGGGGGGGGGGGGG